ATTGAAAAAGCTCATCTGCAGTTGCTGTAATTATGTAGACCTTTAATCGTAGCAAACACAAAATGTAGTTCTCCAAAGTATCATTAAATCGCCTTAACCTTGAGGTGACCATTTTTCTGCCTCCTTTGACCTTCTGGTGCTGGTTTCTTTTTCATTTGCTGTTTGCCTTTTTCCTAGACCTTTGTTCACCACCTGCATTAATTGAAGCAGAAACAGGAATGCCTCATCAAACACAGCATGTATCCCATCCTGTTATAAGAGCCTGTGTTTGGCCTGAGACAAGGTGAAGATTAAGAAACAAACATTGTCAGTGGGTTTTTGAGTTAAAAGTTGAGGACAGCTGGGGATGTGGAGTAATTGGCTTGATTACCATTTACATAATGAAGCTGTTACTTCAGCATCTTTGCTTTTGCTATAGTTTCCTTCTACTATGTTCTTTGCCTAGATTATATTCCCGTTGTTGTGCAAATTTGCTTTCTTCCTTTTGTGTAATTCCTAACATTCCTACTGAGCTTGTACATCTTTCTTTCTATTCATAGAATCATAGAATTGCTCAGGTTGGAAAAGACCTTAAAGATCGTAGAGTCCAACCACAACCTAACCATACTACCCTAACAACCCTCTGCTAAATCATGTCCCTGAGCACCACATCCAAACAGTTTTTAAACCCATCCAGGGATGGTGACTCAACCACCTCCCTGGGGAGCCTATTCCAGTGCTTAACAACCCTTTCTGTAGAGAAGTTCTTCCTAATATCCAACCTAAACCTCCCCTGGTGCAATGAGGCAATTTCCCCTCATCCTGTCACCCATCACCAGTGAGAAGAGACCAACCTGGCTCTGGCTGCAATCACTTTCAGGAATTTGAAGAGAGCAATAAGGTCTTCCCTTGGCCTCCTTTTTCCCAGACTAAACAGCCCCAGTTCCTTTAGTCACTTCTCCAGAGTCCAAGATTTTTTCCTTTGCCTGAAATCTGTTCATATGCTGTCCCCTTTCTGTAATTGCATCTCTCCTCCTTAGTGTAATCCTGATTCTCTTCCTGCCCCATCTATGCTCTCCTTCTAATGCATGACATCCCTTCATCTCTTCTGTTCTTTTGCTGTGCTGGATGGTAGTTTCATTATGAGCTTCTCTTGCTTTCCTGCTTCACATCTCATGCCCCAGTGTTCCTCATCACACGTTTTGGTTTTTATAGATTCCATTCTGGATTTTCACAGAGGACAATGCAAATCACATCTTTGACACTGAGCTTTGACACTGAGCTGATGCCTACCCTGGACTGAATATTAAATTGTACAGCAAAATGTTTTAGGTTCGGTTTAATTTCTTTGAAAGAACAATTTAATTTTCAAAGGTGTATGGTGTTATTGGACTCTCCTGTACTCTTCTATAGCCAGCTGTTTGAGATGGAAAATTTGTGGTCCAAATACATTACTGAGGATAAAGACAACTGACATTGTGTTCTTGAACTGGAAGGTCTGAGGACATCTGCGTCTGTATCGTGTTCAGCATCAGCTGAGTATTATACTTGTGCATTGGACTATTTCTGAGAGGTTTCTGAGGGCACTGATTTAGGAACTGCAATGTAATTTAGCTTTTGTACTGCTTCAAGCATAACATGGGTATTTTTCAAAAAATCCTACATAGGGATAATCCAGTATGTCTTGTGCTCACAGGCTACACTGAGCATGGTGAAGAGCTTCCCTTGTACAGCCTGGGTGCTCAGCTGCTGTGTGTGGCTGGGGCTTGCACCTGCAGAACCAACAGGAATGCTGTGGGAGGCGCAGACCAGAGCATGAGTCCTTCACTGTACTCCTTGTGGTCCTGCTGCACAATGAGGGCATGCACCCATGTGTATTGTACGTGCCAGTGTCTGGTGGTTCCAACTGTCCCAAGGAACTCAAGTCATCAGAGCACATTTCTGGAATTTTTAAAGAGATTATGATTTCTTCTGTCATGATAAAAGAAGGGTCATCCTCTTTTCAAGCCACTGTATCTTCAGTCCAGTCCAGTAAATGGGAAATCTGGATATGGATGCTCTTAAATGCTCTAATCATATATATAAAATAACTTTATTTGATTTTTATTACCTATTTTATTTTATTTTTATAGAGGCCACATTGTTTTGTTTACATATTAATGTAGCAAAATTGATATTGTTCCTTTTGCAAACATTCTTTAAACTATTGATTTACCTATTGAAAAGCTTAGCCATTCTTAAATGAATGTGGATATTTAGATAAGGGAAATGCAAGAAGTGTTTTAGCAACCAAAATGCTAATGGCTGTATGCTGAATGATTACTAATCAGAACTGATAGATACATTTTAAATCCAGGTACAGTATGAAGTAGATAAACCTAGGCTAGTAGTGGAATAAAGCCAATTTAACTTAGCATAGTCCTAAATGATGATTAATTTATTCTTCTTGTCAGGGAAATTTATGAATAAGCCCTGACTTACTCCAGTGATTTAAAAATATATTTAGTTAAATGAGTGCATGATTGTGTAGAAACGGGATTTCTCTGGGATGTTTTACTGCCCATGGAAGGCTTTCTGTCTGGAAATCAATTAGTACATTGTAACATTGATTTTTTTTGAGGTTAAGTGCAGTTTTAAGGTGTCTGCCTTAGACATAATTAAAGCATTAATGCATTTTACTCTACGTGTCATTTCCATTTGAAAGTGCCACAACTCTTAGAGTATTGGCTAAGGCTGAAAATAAAAACAAAAAAAGAAACTGAACCACAAAGGTTATGCCGTATCACCTGACATAAATGAAACAGATCACTCATGAGCAGTTATGATCAGTCACTGACAAACGCTGAAGTTTGGAAACAACATTCATTAAAATCAAATTTCATCATGTAGCTGTTTAAAGTAGGATTTCACCGTGTTCTGTGTATTTAATAAGTGATGATTCCGAGGAAATAAATTTCCATCTTTTTCCTTATCAGAGAGAAAGCTTGTTTTGTGGGGCATTCTACAGAGTTATCAGGGGAATATAGTTATTGTTCACATAGAGGGTGGCAGCTCCATTTACCCACAGAGAATATATTTAGGTACCAGCAATCTTGGGTTCCTTCCAAGGCATTGTGGAGTTACACTGCAGTGTCTGATTTACTTTAAAGCTTCTTGTTACAGTTTAGGAGCAGAATTTATCCTGCACATATCCTGTTTAAAACAAAATTTTCTTCCCTGTTCAACAGAGATAAAGAATATTTTTTATGGGTAAAAATTGTGTCCAAATTAACTGGAAGGATGAACCCATAACTGTGAATTCAAAGAACCACAGAATATTCATAGTTGCAATATCTCCATAAGGATCACCAAGTCCAACTCCTGACTCCACACAACTACCCCAAATCAAACCCTACATGTGAGAATACTGCCCAAATGCTCATTGAACTCCAGCAGCTCGGGGCCATACCCCCTGCCCTGGGCAGACAGTTCCATGCCCACCACCCTCTGGTGTAGACCCTTTCACTAACCCCAGCTGCCCCTTCCCTGTCGCAGCTCCATGCCGTTCCCTCAGGCCCTGTCGCTGTGACACAGAGCAGAGCTCAGAGCTGCCTCTCTGCTCCCCATGAGGAGCTGCAGTTGCCATCAGGCCCCCCCTCAGTTCCTCTGCTCTGGGTTGAGCAAACCCAGGGACCTCAGCTGCTTCTCACACATCTTGCCTTCTAGACCCTTCACCATCTCTGTAGCTCTCCTTCAGACATTCTCTAACAGTTTTATGCCCTTCTTATATTGTGGTACCCAAATCACATTCTGCTTGAGATGAGCATTGCAGTGTGGTCAATCCCTTCCCTCACCCAGTGGCAGTGCTGGGCCTGGTGCAATCCAAGGTCACAACTGATCTCTTTAGTTACCAGGGCATTCTGTTGACTAGTGTTCAAATTGCTGTCAACCAGAACCCCCACATCCTTGCTTGTGGGGCTCATCCCCAGCATCTCATCCTTCAGCCTGTATGTATATCTGTAGCTGGCCCATCCCATGTGCAGAGTCCAGCACTTTCTCTCCTTAAACTTCATGCAAATGGTGATTGCTGGGCTTTCCAATTAGTCAAGATCTCTATGCAAGGCCTCTCTATCCTCAAGGGAGTCAAAAGTTCCTCCCAAATTAGAACTGTCCACAAACCGATTTAGTAAATCTTCAAGCCTTGTATCCAAGTCATTAATGAAAACACTGAAGAGAACTGACTCTAAAATGGAGCCCTATGAAACCCCACCAGTGCCTGAACACCAGCCATTGTAACCCCTATAACTCTTTGAGCCCAACCTGTCAGCAAAGAGTTCACCCATTCCACTATATATATATTTTTATTTTATTTTATTTTTTTTTGTGTCCAGCTGATGGGCATTTTGTGCAGAAGGATGCTGGAAGAAACAGTATCAAAACTGATTGATACAATACAAATTCCAGTTTCAAATGCACAGAATGGACTGATGGGACAAGACTCTAAGACACAGTATAGCTATGTAATCTTTTTCATGCTTCGAAAGGTATCACTTTTGTCAGTTACTGTGTGTGACTCTATGATTCCATGTATATTTTATCAAAATATCTATGTACATCCACTTTACTTGTATAAAATCAACAGTGAAATTCTCAGATGTTTTCTGTGAGAAATAGAAAGCAGCTCTGGTATCAGATGAATACAATGTATCAATGTTTCATACTTCTGAATATGATGTCAGAAAGCGTAGTGTTACAAAATCACCAATATTATTCTAAGAATTTTGATTCAAAATGTGCTGGGCTTGCTTTAAGAGGAACAGATTTAATTCACCATTGAGTTGGAATACAACACCTGTTTGTTATCAACACCTTTTCTTGATGAATGGAGTACTCAATTGGTTAAATCTGTAGAGAACTATTTAACACATAGGAAATAAGCTAGCATTTGTTAAGATGGAAGTGTTGCCATCTCAAGATTCAACTAGAATTTCCTACGGTATTCTGCTGCAAGCATTCTTTGAAAGCAGACTGAGAAACTTGCATGAAAAGGCAAAAATAAGAGTAGATCTACCATTTCTGAATAGGTCAGAGCAGTATTTTAGGGGAAGAAGACACAAGGGTTCTCTGAGACAGGTATGTTTAATCTATGCAAAAATAACCTAAAAATAACCACTTACAACACTTAAACCATTTCTTTTGAGCAGCCTCAGTCCACATGGGTTAGTTGTACTCAGTGGTTTAACATATTTATGTAAGGAAGCTTATATAATCATTTGTAGTCTATTCTGGTAGGAAGATATAAAGAAATAGGCTTTGTCTTTCAAAACTCACACTTCATCCTTATAAATTTAAATTGATTTTCAGGACAGACAATTCTCCAAGCAACCTGTCAGTCATTGAAACAATTCCTCTAGAAATTTGAGAGCCTTGACGTGATGGAAAATAAAGGATCTGAACAAAAATTTGCATCAAGTAAGTACATCAAGCTCTGGGCACCACTGCTAAATCACAGCAAAGAAAATGTTCAATTAGAAAATCCTGTGTCAGGGCTTTAACTTGAGTGACAAATCTGATATTGTAGTACCACAAATGTTTTTCATGGTGTCATAGCCAATAACACTGATTCAAGGCAAAATATATGCATTTATAGACTTTAATCCGGTTTTGCTCTGACAACAGTGTCAATAGAACTGTAGGTGGAGCAACTTGTCTGAGTTTTTGTCAGCTCCGAGAGCTTCTCGTGGTAGCTGTAGTTGTGCAAGTGCCTGAAACTCCAGGTGGCGCCTGAGAGGTAGCCTCCAATGCGTCAATGTTGTCTAAGAATAGTCAGAGAAAAGCAGCTCAGTACTACTCAAGGCTTGGGTTTTTGCAGCACCTCCCTCTGTAATCAATGAAATATTGCACTGTGTGTAGTCTGTGCTTAGAAGCAGAGAGCAGACCACTTTCTTGTTTTGCTAAATAAATCTAGTGTTAGCAGAATGTAAGCGATCTGATGTGACACTATGTTATTTCTTTTGATAGGGGCCTATGAGTTCTTAAGGATGAACTGGACATGAATATGCTTTCATTCCTAACAGCTTCAGTGCTCCTGCCTGTCAGGATGAGATATCTTGATTTTCAGAATCACAGCACGGTTGGGGTTGGATGAGTCCTCTAGGTCAAGGCCCAACTCCTGGTCCAGTGAGGACAATACAGATCAGGGGGCCCAGGTCTGTGTCTAGGTGGTTGCTGAAGATCTTTGACGAGGAGATTCCACAGCCTCTGGGTATAGAAGGAATGCTACCACCAAAACTTCAGCCTTGGAGGGAACAGATTTCAGGCTGCTCAGGAAGCTTACTTAGTAGGGTCCCCAGAAAACTGGTTTTGAAGGCATTGGTGTCCATCAGTACTGGTTACTGTTAAGTGCAGCCTCCTAAGAGCACAGGAAATAGGCAATTCCAAAATGTTGAACAGAGTTCTTCTAGAGGTTAGGTAGAAAATGTATGGCTGCTGGAAGCCAGGAGTTGCGCATAATGGTCCTTATGGGTCTCTTCCAGCTTGGGATATTCTGTGACTTTTCTGGCCAACTTGTGCCAGTGCTCAGTCACCTGCAACAGCACAGAAATGCTGCCTGGTGTTCAGAGGGTACCTCTTGAGTTCCAGTTTGTGCCCATAGCCTCTTGTCCTGGCACTGGGCACCATTGAACAGAGCCTGGTTTTGTCCCCTTTGCATTTCCCTTTTTATATACATTAATGGGACCTCCTTCTGTCAGTCTCAGCTCCCTCAGCCTCTCCTCCTAGAAGTGCTTGGTATACCCAGGCTAATTTGGAATGAGTACCTATTGCTGTCAAAATAGATGCCCTACTAGCAATTCACTCAATAGGAGCTTACTGCTGTAGTGAAGCTGCCTGCTGCAGTAACAGCATGACATGTTCAAACTTGTTCAGTTGCCTGACAGCCTTGACGTATTTGCTCTGTTTCCTCTATTTGTACAATGGTCTGTGGCTACAAAACACATCCTTGGACATGAATTTTCATTTTAAAGTTCCCAAATAGCCTTCATAAAACTTGTGTGCATGTAACCCCAGTATTACAGAAATAACTATATAAATCCCAAACTTCAGAAGGGGAGCATGTTTTACATTTAACTGCTCTTCCTAACTCAGAATCAATTTGTTTATTGTATTTTAGTTTGGATTTACTTTATGCAACATTGCAATATTACTGCTTTACATAAGAAAAAAAATATTGGCTGCACTGAGTCTCTGGAGATGTTTAAAAACCGTTTGGATGTGGTGCTCACAGAGATGATTTAGCAGAGGGTTGTTGGAGTTAGGATAGAATGGGTAGGTTGTGGTTGGACTTGATGATCTTTAAGGTTTTGCAGTCTGTGCAATTCTATGATTCTGTAGTGAAGATGTTAAGTCTCGGCTTGAAACAGTGATTGAGCACCTGGTGGGAAGGCAGGGCCTACCCAGGAGAACTCAGGTGCATGCAGTGTGCTCATTTAAGGGCTGGTGGTGCAGGAAGGTGCATATAAAATGAGAATTTTCCCTTAAATGGGATATAAGAAATTTCCTAGACTCCTGCTGTGTAACCTATGCTGCTTCCAACTTCTCCTGATGAGCAACTTGGCAACCGTACTTTTTCCTCTTTCTTGATGAAGAACTGTTGCCTTCACTGCTCCATTTCCTCCATTGCTCACTCTACTATCCAACACCTTCAGAAAATATTGCCAGTTGTTGTGAGTTACAAACACTCTGCCTTTCATATTGGTTTTCAATGATCAATCTTTTTTTCAATAGTAAGATTATTGTTTGTGTCATAGTGATGCTGCCATTAGTGGCAATTCTTTTTTTTGTTGTTGATGTTGTTGGAAACTGGATGTTGTTGATGATCTACAACCACAATAAATGCTTTTTCAGAAAGTTATCAGGGAGGCTTTTAAGCCAGTCACTTCTGTCAGTTTTAATATTCTTGTGTTTTACAGAGGTTAGAGATCTGAAAGGGATCTTTCCATGTGTAAAATTGTGTTGCTGTTCCATGGAGAGGAGCTTGACAAACTGACTTTGTAGACAAAGACATACTGTGGTATGTACTAATCTTTTCAGATGCTTCTTTCTTCAGAATCTTACAATACTATTTTTGTTCATGGCTTAGAGAAAAGGACCAAATGTCGTAATAACTGAACAGTGTTTCAAACATTTTATAACTGGGTGCCAGGAAAGTTACCTTTGTCTTTGAATTTACATCAGCAATAAGGCCGTAGTGTGTCTCTGAGATTTGGAAAAGCTTGTAGACTTTCCTGTGTACTGTGTTCTCATTTGCAGCTTCTGAGATATTCTCTCAAGGTTTTCAATGTATTCTTCATCAAATCATTTCATTACCCAAACAATTCCATGACTGCCTAAACTTAAGAGTCTAATGTCATTTGTGATGTACCATTTGAGGCTGGCAGATGTGACACAAGTTGTACTGAAAACCTGTGGCCTTATGAAACAGCAAAGGGATCTTGGCTGGAATATGTACATGCTCATACAATATAGGTAGTTCCTTTTGGAGTTAAATTTATCATGGATCTGAAGTGTTCTCAAGCGGTGTGAATCTCTGTGTCTGAGCTAGATAAATCCCTGCTGCTACTGCTGCTTCTTCAGCTGTCTCAAGTGTTAAGTGAAATTACTCTGGTCTGAGAACTGTCTGGAAATACTCCAAGCTTCCCTCTGTGCCAAGTGATGAATAACAATGAAGGCGTTGTGATGTCTCCTATAAACAAACCACATTAACTTGACTTTCCATACTACCTAAAATAGAACTACAGTAGCATACAGGAATTACAGATATTTTCCAGTATCTGTAACCTCCAGGAGTTCTCATGATTCACTCTCGTGAGAGAAACAAACTCATTTCCAAAGTCTACCTCTGTTATCCTTGATAGCAGGAAGGCAAACAGTGTCAGTTTTAACTTTGATTATCAAAGCTTGGAAAGTGTATTTGCCAAACAAGTTTTCCCTCTTCTTCTAGCAAGAGCAAGAACACTGTCTTCTGAGACACTGTGCTGTATTTATAGGTTCTCACTGCTTTTTATTTGATAAAATATTGCTAATACAAAAAATGACAGCATGGAAATACAAAAAGTAATTGAGGGAAAAGGTGAGGCAGAAGGGAATGTAATTGGCTGTTGTCTGTATTAGGCATTAAAATCAATAGCTTTATAGTGATGTGTACAGTGAGATTTTAAAGAGGATTAGTTATCTCAGATTTGCTAATATCGTATCCAAGAATTACTTTTGTTAAACTGATCTGATTTCCTTTGTTAGCAGAGTAAGTAGTTGGTTCTTTTAGAGTGAAACAATGGGTAAAACTAGATGATAGCAGAACTTCTGATGTTATATGTTACTGTCTCTTAAATTAAAGAATTGTGATCTCAATTTAATAACTATTCTTACCTGTAATTTTATATATATATATATATATAATTTGCTTTAGATGTGATCCTGATGTGGTCCATATGTGTCTCTATGTTGTAGTTTGAGCAATGAATTGAATAAATATATAGACTTATTTAATGAATTTTATCCATGTGATAAGGGCTGAAAACACTATAGGATAACATTAGAAATAAAAATGGCCCTGGTGATTTGGAGAAAGAGCCTGAGAGCAACAAGGTGAATTTCTGCTAAAAAAAAAAAAAAAAAAACCTACAAACACAGTTTAATAAAGTAACAAATATAAAGAAAATAACTGGTAAAAATAAATGAGTAAGGGAATAGACTTGAAGTGACACTAGTGTGTGAACCACATCACTTTTCTAACAATACTATGGGTTATAAATGATGTAGACCACTTTGAGCAGCTGCTCTTCCTCAGTGTGGAGTTATACCTCTGTTGGGATACCACAACAGACTGAAGTTGCCAGGCTGGTTCCCTTCAGTGTGAAATAAAATACGGTAGCTATATCTCTTAATTTTCTCTTCATACTCTTAATGATCTGGGTCAGGAAAGCTGCTGTGAAACTGAATGAAGGTCGTATTGACACACATGAAGAAGAACATGTGTGACACCCAAGTTGACAATTTTGCTATTCAAAATAGATGGGATACCTCAGGTGAGTCTTGTGTATTTTCACACAACATGTGAAGAGAGAGAAATAAAGGTGGGGACAGAGGTTTCAAAATGTAAAGCCTTAAAGAAAAGATAGTGATCAGATGTTCTGCTTGGCCAAAAGAAAAATGAATTATCTCAATTTATTTCCCTCCAATAGAAGTAAAGATAATAAGAAAGTACTTTATTAGCTTTTTTTTCAATGCAAATAGAATTGTATCATCATGTAAGCATTTGCCTTTGCAATATGAAATGTTGTGTGACTAAATACTGTTTCAAGATTGTCATCATTGTGATTGGTTTAGAATTAAATGTGGAGGTTGGTGGCCCTGCATGTGGCAGGGGAGTTGGAGACTCATGATCCTTGAGGTCCCTTCCAACCCTGGCCATT